GTCTACCTTCCAGCCCAACAGGGAGCCTGCCTGCCGGCCCAACCGAAAGTCTACCGCTCGAGGAGCTCAAGCGTTCTGCCTGCTAGCCAGGCCAACCTGCCAGCCAACTATGAAGAGTAACGACCAACAATCAATGCGCTATTAATTATGTTTTTAATTCTGTATTAATGTTGTAATTAATTAGCCATTAGTATCTTTGACAGTTACTATTTGTAAATCGCCTATAAAAGGCAAGTTCGAATTTCAAATGAGATATGCTATTTCTGGCTACCAAATTCCCTTTGCGACTTTCCTTATTCATATTACTTTCTTGATTCCTTTGGACCAACAAATATAATATACAGTGTACATAGATTAAATTATATTATTATTGAGGACATTAGATTAACAAGAGAGATATTATAATAGGTTTAGAAGAATATTACAAAAAAATACGGAGTGTTAGATTAAAATTAATGTTTCAAGGTTAAAATGGAAATTACATACAACTAATTAAACTAAAATTTGAACTAATGTAACTAAATATCAATTTATACAATACGGATAAAATACATGTGCTAACTATGAGCCCATTTGGTAATACTCAAATCGGATGTATTGGTTATTTTTGCTGAAATTTATGAAGTTCTAACTGAAGTGGTTGGATTGGCTGATTCAGCTAATTTATTAAAAAATTATGTTTAAATTATTTTTTATTAATAAAATAAAGAAAAAGATATATTCAAATAGCTAAAAGGGTCATTTACAGTAACTTCAGCCAATACAATGAGAAAAATAACTACAACCTTTTTTTTGGATGAAATGTAAGTATATATATAAAACACCCAAAAATAACATTATACAATGTATCAAGTACGGATGCTATCTAAGTTAGACTAATCTAACCTAAATAAAAACCATCAAAATAATAGGCATCTTCTTTGGCCTAGCTGCAAAAACAGCACAAGAACAGTAGCACCGAAAACAAAACCGGCCACTAAAGCAGTCCCAGCTCACAAATAGTACAACATCAGATGCTCCCAAACTTTGAAAGCAGCTGCATCACCCAAGCTACACATCCTGCATTAATTTAAGATACCCAAACCTAAGTTTCAAAATAGCAGCAGCTGTTCACACGCTTTTGACAGCAGTAGCACCGTCCAGGCAGCTGAAAACTACCATCCGAGCAGAAAAAGAAACAGCGCAGAGAGCTGTTTATTGCTTCCTCCCAGTCAGCCTTTTTCTCCCATTCTTCCCATTTGTCCTACCCTTGAAAAGCTTTGGAAGAGCAATTCTCTTTCTTGCAAAAGTTTACTCCCAACTTAAACCTGGAATTCTCGTGATCATTCCATTTTTGTTCCCATTAACATCTTTCGTGATCAAAAAAACCTTGCCGTCCAAATAAACTTCATCAAATTTTGTGTAGTCCGTCTGATCCTCTTCCCCCGAACAAGAGTCAGTCTCATACGATCCATATCCGGAACCTTCACTTTCAGTTTGTTCCTCCACAGCAGGTTTTTGGATAGCTTGGCTGATGATTGCAGGAGCTTGCGCTGCAAGAACAGACCCCTGGACAGCAACCTGAACCTGAGGCCCGGTCGGGTTTGATGCTTTCCCGGTCGGGTTAAGAGACTGCCCCTGGATAGTAGGTGCTGCCCGTGAGATGTCCAGCTTTTGTTTGGGTTTGGGCTGCACTAGAGAGGCAGCCGGACCACCACATACCTCCTTGTCTATCACCCCCTTCTTCACACCCCCCGTGATCACCTCTTTATCAATCTTTTTCCATCCCAATTCCTTACAAATCAAAGGGTGATGCCCGTATGATTTGAAATGGAAGCAGAAATTAGGGAAGGTCTCGTAGACCACCAATTGTTTAAACGTCTTCCCCGAAGGTAACAGGATAGGAAAGGAGAGGCATGGCGCCTTGGTAATGTCGACTTCAATTAACACCCTCGCAAAGTTATAATTTGACATCTCTTGAGTAACCTTGTCCGTAGTGATAGGAACACCCACCTTTGATGCAATCATGCTCATTGCCTCTTCATTCCACAAATTCAAAGGTAAATTGGGAAATTTTACCCAAATAGGCACCTTAAGGAACGCTTCATCATCAAAAGTAAAGTCATCGGATAGAATTTTCAGTATAAGTAACCTACCAAAGATATTATAAGGTCCTTCAGTGAAGACCTTAGTTCGATCCTGCTCATTCATAAATTTGAACACCACCCACCCCTTATTATGGGATTTCAAAGTACAACGTACACCCCATCTTTTTACTAGATCATAAATCGCTTTGAGCCCCGGGAATCTTCCTGTAAAGCATCCAAAAAGGCAAAAGCCCCACAAAGAAACCATAGAAGGCAACACACAATTTGAAAGATCAACAACTTCATCAACGGAAGGTAAATATTTCAATTTAATTCCTTTAGAAGGAGCACGGTTATCTCTAAACAATTCTGCCCATTGTGAGGTAGTTCCAGCATGTTTGGAATCATTAGGCTCTGTTACTTTCCTGTACGTCCCAGTACTTAAAGGTTCCGTAGCAGGTCCAGGTTGTATAGTAGCAGGAGTGACCAGAGCAAGCTGCCCGGGGCTCTTTGTAGCATCTCCTGCAATGGGGACAATTGCGTCAAAAGAAACCACATCAGGTTGAATATGGCTCACTGCAGTGGTAGCTCCCCTTGGCACCAATGTAGCAGGCGTTCCCGCAAGCCCAGACACAGCTGCAGAATAGTTCTTCGCAGGAGTACTGGTATTCATGCCCTTCGGTTCTCGGGATGATCCTGTAACCACAGTCCCAGGTAGAGGCGGAATTTGTCCAATTTTCACTCTTGACTCTTTCGCAGTAGGCATAGCCTTGAGGCCAGCACCAAGCTCAGGGAAATCTTCCTCCACTGTATCAAGAAGAGCAAATCTGGGGGATGACCTGGTGACCTACGCAGTTCAGGAGACCCCAGCTCCACTTTGTTTCTTTCTTGCCATAGATACAAAGTCCTCGTTTGAGAATCCGAAGCAGAGTAATTCCGCAACAAGAAAACGCAGAATGGAACCCCAAATCGCAGTAGATAATAGTAAATCGACACACAGAAATAAAAGCCGCAGTAAAAATCAGTAATACCAGTATGGAATCCAACACAAAGGTCGTATTGACCTCATAAACATCAAAATCAAACTATAATCAGCTGAAATCACCGAAATCTCAAAAAGACGATGTGAACAGTAGTTACGTGATAAATCTCATAACGACTGTTTTGGCCATCGATCGTCCTCCTAAAATCAAGTGAAAGTCAGACGAAGAAGAACCCAGCCAAGAGAACCACAAAACAAGAGCTTGAAACTCAGTAATCCACCATAATCGAAGGCGCCATGAAAACGAACGGAAAAGGAACTGGGTCGCCACTACAACCTTTTTTATTATTACACCATGCAGCGTCGGAAAACAAAAGTTACGTGTTTGAGAAAAAATTTGGCTGATAAACCTGATAAGCTGAAAAATAGAGCTACCAAACCGATCAACAATGAACCAAACTCTATAACCATTACAAATATATAATTATTTAACATTTTATAAATACAATACTTTAAAGAAGCATCAATGAAAAGGGAAAAAATTCTAAAAGTCTTTTCTAGACGGTATGGACAACAAAGACGAACCAAACCCGGTAAACTAGTCTAGAGTTATGCAAAGCCAAAGGGTTATGCCATTCGAAAAATCGATAGCAGCATGATAGTTACACACTCCCGACTATAGTAATTTTTGTCCGTCGTTCGTGTTAACATCATCTAGAAATTAAATTTGGAATTTATTTCCTCCCCTTTTCATTTATTTTATCCTTACAATGTTAAGCAACTATTTGTTTTAATGGTGACAAACATATACTGCATATTTAGTTTATGTTTAATTTCAAGTTACATACTCGATCTCCATATTGTATTAATTGATATTTAGTTACATTACCTATCTCCAATTTTATTTTAAGTAGTTATATGTAATTTCCATTATCATGTTGTACGTTGTTTATGTTGATATAGTTACTAATATTGGTTAATAAATGTCACTAATGTTAAGGTAAATTTATGTGTTGATTTTGTATTCAAGGGTATATTGCACTCATTGCATTAGTTTAACAACAAATGAAGTAACAGAGTTAAAAGAAATAGACACAAGAAATATACACTTATTCTCTCACTTTTTGTAAAGTGAGTAAATTCTACAATAAAATGACTAAGGTGGTGATATTTTTCTCACCCCATATAATAAGTGACAAATATTGACTATTTTCTCGTCCCGCTAAGATTGTCTCATTTTACCTTTTCGATCCGTTCCACTGAGATTGTTTCATCCTAAATTTGGTAAAATTTGTGTGACTTTAAATCATTCTTACTTTGTTCGTACTTTATCAATTCAATATCAACAACATAAATCAGTTTTGTGTGACACTCTCTGTTGTCATAGTGATGGTGGGACTGAGGGAGTATGTATTAATTTATTATTATTACTATCATCATCATCATCATCGTCATCATCATCATCATCATTATTGTTATTATTATTGTTATTATTATTGTTGTTAGGGAGAACTATCAAATAAGCCCTCGAACTTTCATAAAAGTACAAATAAGTCCTTTTACAGGAGAATGTGTCTGGCTGTCGCCATTTGGGGCGGTTTCCGGTGGAATTTTTTGTTGAAATTTTTTGAACATCTTATTCATTAAGTCTAATTTACCCATACCAAATTTCAGCTAAAAGTTCAATCGAGAAGGCAGTCAAATGATTTTCTGAAATATAATGCGCCGCCTAACAACGCAGTTATCTTCAAAATTTCATTTGACTGCTTTCCCGATTTAATTTTTAGCTAAAATTTGGTATGAGTAAACCCGACTTAATGAATAAGATGTTCAAAAAAATTTATCAAAAAATTTCACCGAAAACCGTCCCAAATGGCGACGGTCAGACATAGCCTCCTACAAAAAGGCTTATTTGCACTTTATTGTTGTTATTATTACTTCTTCGTACTACATTAATACATTAAATTAATACTCTGTATTTCTGTAATGTATAGGGACCGATAAGAAATTAAGAATCATGCGGTTTTTTCAAGTTTAACCAGTAATAACAAGGACACAATAACAAAATACATATCTAGCAAGTAGCAAACACAGTAAAGCAAACACAAATACGTAGTATATATAGAAAAAAAACTAAATCAAAATTGCCGAGAAGGGGTTTAATTTGGCGGGAATTGATCAAAAAATGTCGAGAATTTCGAGTATGAAATTGTTGCAGAGTGGACAATTCCCCTTCTCCGCCCAAAGCTCCCTCGAGCAGAGCCTACAGAACGTGTGGCCGCACGGCTCGAACGGCTCGCCCTTGTGCCTCACCATACACACGCAGCAGTTGTGGAATTCCCCGCCGCCGTAGTCCTCGCAACCTCCGCCTTCCTCCTCCTCTTCCTCATCCATCATGTATCCGCCTTCAGATTCCGCCAGCAACGCCATCAGCGACATCCTAACCGGCGGCTCTCCTCCTCCTTCTCCGCCCTCATCATTTTCTCCGTCTTCTCCCTCGCCTCCGTCAATTTCATCATCTCCGCCTTCGGCCGGTCTCCTTATTGACATCGAGCTCTGTAATTTGAAGCTCCTATCTGCCGCGCGGCTTGGATTCCTGTTCAACATTCTGCTCGACGGGGCGGATCTCAGATCTCTCCGCGAGACGGACATAGATAGCTCCGGTTTGTATTCCTCGGCGGGGTATTCAGCGTCGGGGCCGTGGTTCGTGGAAGGAAACCGGGAGGAAAGCCTCCGAGCCATCATCGCCCTGTAGTTCGTCGGATTGATCGGGACGTCGGAGGCAGGGATCGGGACGGTGGAAGTCCAGGCGGCGCCGGCACGCTTTAGCCGGAGCTTTTCCTTGAAATGCTTCCATGTTTTCCGGTTTTCCTTGCTGCCGTTCGGATCGTCCTTTATGACATCCAGAAGGGTCCGCGTCTGCTGGGGAGTCACCGCCGACATGTCTCCGCCGCCCAATACGGCCAATAACGTTAGACCGGATAGATTTTCTCGGTGACTGTGCGTCTCTGCTTTTTCATCTAATATCAACGGTCTACTCCTCCCAACAACACCGTGATGCATTCACTTATTGTGATTCGAAGCAATTATGCACAAAAAATCTATTTCATTTCTTGTTGTGTTCCTTTTTTGCCTTTGGTTGGTTAGAAGAAATGGAGATTGAAGGAGATTTGAGTGTTGTTGTAGACAACAATGATACGAACACCACACAATCTCTAACGATCCCAACGGCACACCATAATAATTAAATGATTAACACAATCACTAATGAATTGGAATTTGTAAAAGTGCAAAGAGAATTAAAGAATCATAAAATCATACTTCCATTTTTGATTGCCTCTATTATTGCCTCATACTATATTTGGTAATATTTGTGTGTTTCTAATTCATTCTTAATTTATCCTCACTTTGTCAACTCATTATCAACAACATAATATTTTTTTCATAAAAATCACATAACTCTCGTCCGTCTCAATATTAGGGGACGAAGGTACTAAATCATAAGATTATTACTACATAGAATAGTAAAATGGTGAGATTATATATTTTGTAGGGGCGTTAGGGGATACAAAATTTATAGATAGATTGTTTATTGAAATGATTACGAATTATTATAGTAAACTATAAATCATTTTTTTTAAATGGAAGGCGTTAAACTATATTAATTTAATCAATGGTTTGCAGTTACAATTAGCCAATGACTCAAACTTCAATTATCTTCTAACAGATTCAATAAAAGCATACGACCAGATTCTGAAACGGTCACCTCCAAAGAAGCCACACGAATCGCGGACCACCAAAGGAACAATATAGATTTCTTTCTGCCTCGTAAAATCGTTGTACTCTTTACCACATCAACAAACTAAACAAGTCGAAAAGTCTACTCAGTCCCTGACCAGACATATATAGAGAAGTTTACAAAAAGCAGAGCGAAACTTTTTACCGAACGTACGAGAGCTCGAGACAAATAACGATCATAATACCTCAAAAAAGAACTAACACAAACAAATCACAAATCAAATAAAAAATATAAAGAAACATAAAGGGAAAACTGTCAAATAGGTTCTCGAACATTCATAAAAAGGTCAATTAAGTTCTTCTATAGGAGGTTCTGTCCGGCCGTCGCGATTTGGGGCAGTTCTCGCTGGAATTTTTTATGAATTTTTTTGAGCATTTTATTCACCAAGTCTAGTTTACTCATACCAAATTTCAGCTAAAAATTCAATCCGGAACTCATTCAAATTAATTTTTGAAGATAACTGCGCATTTTTGCGTTCTCGAATTAATTTGAATGCGCTCCCGATTAAATCTTTAGCTAAAATTTGGTATCAGTAAACTAGACTTGATGAATAAGAGGCTCAAAAAATTTCATCAAAAAGTTCCACCGGGAACCGCCCCAAATCGTAACGACCGGACAGAGTCTCCTATAGAAGAACTTAATTGACTTTTTAATGAAAGTTTGAGAACTTATTTGACAGTTTCCCAAACACAAATATAGCTGAAAAGGAATATGAAGTATAGATCAATAACCCACATGCATTCACGAGGAGGACAGACCAACATTATTGCATTTTCTTCCTCACTCTGCTCCTTATTATCACATTCTCTGTCATGTCTTCACTTTCGGCACCAAAATCACGCCGCAAAGCAGGTGCCATCGCATGGTAGCTTTCCTTCCGAATCTCAAATCGACTAAATTACTCTCTTGAAATTGATACGAAATCTAACGATCCACTAAAATCGCACAGCCGCACACACACCGAAAAACGATTGAAACAAAATACCCCTAAATCGATTCCAAACTTATAAGGTAATTACTAACTTTTAAAACAACCACAACTTCATGATTAACCATCCTAAATCGATTCCAAATGTATTGACTACTTCATCATCCTAATTCCCCCTCTCAGTTCTCACTCCTTCAAGAGACCAGGACGAAGAACCATTTCTCCTCTAATCTATAAATACACGCTCGTTCAGTCCCTAAATAAAATTTTCATTTCCCTTTTTTACATGCCCCTACATAAAATTTCCTTCATCTACTTGATAAACAAATCTATAATCCGTAACAATTTACTCTATTATCCTTAAATAATAATAATAATAACACAACTCAAAATGGTACTAAACAACACCAACCAGTTTGTTACATAGTATATTCTATAGTAAAATTTACCTCTTAGTAATATGAATATTTCTGGAAGTCGGAGGGAAAAAATTCACTCCCTCAATATGCCTGTAATTCAAAGCATAATTTTTTATAGTGACAAAGGGAGTATAAAAATAAAACTGGCTGGCAATAACTCTTACTGCCAAGGGACACATTTGTTCTAAAACCTTTCTTAAATTTTTTATTGTTCAGAAAAACATGCAGCCATCTTGTAAATGTATGATTTCAGTTTTAGGAAATGAAATAATTAATATTCATCGACAAACAACTTTCCTCAACCGTCGACATTTTAGATTCAGATTACTTGTTTCATTTATAAATAAATATGAAACTTACAACTCATTAATATTTCAATCATTACAAAGAAATAGTCACTCCATATTAGATATGGAGTACTACTTATTTGATAAAAAGACTGATTATGTTTCTATTTTTTTTAAAAGCACAAATAGAATAAGAATCAATTTTTCAGGAGTTTGTATTCCCAACTTCCATAAAAAAATAGAAATAAAATAAGAATCAATTTTATAGAAGTTAGTCTCCCAAACTTCCAAAAAGATTGTTTTGACAGCAATTTTGAGTAATCCCAAGCACTTCCACACTTTTACTCAAGCACTCATATTGGTTTCTATTTTAAGAAGCAGATCCAAACGCACTATATTGGTCAACTCTCCCATAGTTCAATCTGTCACATTAACCGACATGGCCCAAACTGGGGTCCGATACGCACAGCCCCGTCCAACGTTTGTCTGCATGCTCGGCCCACTTGCTGGTAAACGACGAGCTTAGAGAGAGTCAGAAAAAAAGGAGCACGAAGACGAACCAGGAAACCATTTTTACAAACTCAAAAGCACCACGCGCGCGAACTCACGAACTTATTCCTGGGTTCATACGCACCCATATTTTAATCTTCCACATTTACATATTATTATTACGTGATATTTCTGCCCCACTGTGAGATTCAAACGCGTACATGGATGGCTGGCTTCACTTATTGTTCTAGGGCATTGTGTCCCCTGCTATTGAATTGAGGTCCTCTTTTGCCTCCAAAACCTAACCCTAGAATTGGTTGCGACGTTCCTGGAAGATCCAATTGTTGTCTTGGATTGCAATTCGAGCTTTTTTGTTTCATAATACAGGTATAGTTTTTCGTTTCTTAGCTCCGAGAAAACAAGAAATTTGCACTCTGTTTTTTGGTTGCCAACCCTAGAATTTCGTTGGTGTTTGGAAATTGGAATTGGCAGTTGGTGTTGTTGGTTAGGTGAGGAATACTGGAACGTTAAGTCGGAATTCTTCATTTGTTTTCGCGCATTTTTGCTTAAATTGCAATGATGTTTTGCGTCTTGGTTTGTGGAGTTCCTTAAACTTCCTTATTAGAGCACCATTTAATGCAATGACTTTAGTGTATCTTTACGCTCCAATAGTGGAGCTATAATTGTTTGGCGCTTCCATCTCCTTACACTCTTTTGGTTTGCTGGAAATGGTTTGGCAGTATGTGTAAGCACAATCAATTGCTCGTGGCATGTACTTGGTCATTACGTATGCTTTGCATGCATGAGGCTGCAGGTCGTTGATGCACTTTTTGTTGTTACGTGAATTAATTAGTCTTTATTGGGGCTAAAAACACACCAGTTACTTGAAAATTTAATGTCTGATAAGCTTCCTGTTGTAGATATCTAAGCACAATCAAATGCAGTAGGTACCTAATTGCGCAATCAAATGCAAGCAAATGTGTGGGGTACACAGTACAGTCCATAAATGGGATGTCTTTTTTCCATGATATGCCATGATTTATATTCCATCTTTGATTAATATCTGCTCTAAGGAAGATAATCAACACACCCACCTTTTAGAACTTTCCTGTTTTGATGGATGCACGATATAATAATAATAATCAGAACAAGCGTTTTTATGTAACTTCGCTGGATTACTTTTTCTACTTATGCTGCTCTCTCTGCCTCTCACTTCTTTTTGATTACTTGGGAAAAAAGGCATTACATATTATTCGCTTGCAGTAGTGTGGAACCTTCCAAGGACCCACATGTGAACAAGTGGTAAATAACCAGATAAAGGTGGGATTTTGTTTCCTTCTTGTTTTTCATCTATTCTTTTTAAATTGTCTAATTGTAGGATATCATCTACACTTCATCCTTAATCATTTTTTTGTGGGGACTAAACTTAGTTATATTTGCCTCTTAGTTTCTGCTTATCTGTTATGCATGGATGTGGATTATTGTGATCATGCATGCACGTAATGGGACTTATGTCAATGTTTCTTTGGAAGAGGCCGTTGTAATTGTTGAACTAATTGCTCATATTTATTAATTATATGATATATGACATATATGCGATACATGGATGACAGTATGTAGTAGACTACTCCACTAATGTGACCGTTCTTGTAAATAAAACCTTGATTACCATTCCTTCGATAAATTAGAGAAGTCAGAACTGAGTTTATAGAGCAGATAACATCTCTACAGATTCATGCTCTATTTTATGTGCAACTGTGCAAGTCGACCACTTCTCCTGGAAGCAAATTGCAAGTGGTGCACTGGTGCAGTCTATGCAATTACTGAGTTTCTTTTTGGTTCTTTGTTGGGGCGTTGTAGATATCATGTTTTAGCCTCAATTTCATAGAAACATTTCAAAATGTATTTATTAATAGACCTCTCTTTTCTTGTTTGGACTCATTTCAGTAATCCAATTCAGCTATTTTAGTTAAACAAAATAATTGTCTTGTTATCCCTTTTGGGTTGTCCCAACATATTTGCCTTGTTTCTTTTTTTGGCAAAAATATGCGGTTCATATCATTTCACGTATTTCCACTAAAATCTCAATTGCATCTTTTACCTTTTCAACCACTTTATTAACAAGTGTGCCAAACCAAACAACAACAACAACAACATCTAAGCCTTATTCCTAAAGGGGTTTGGGGCTGGCTAACATGAATTGATATATGAAATTGGAGCTAAAAATATAAAAAGATAAGATAAGATAAGATTAAAAAGATAAGATAAAGATAAATAAAGATAAAAATAGGACTAAAAAGATAAAAGATAAAGAAGATAAAAAATAAACCAAACCAAACAACACAATTAATTTGGGACGGAGGTAGTACATTCTTTATGTGCAATAGGCTTTCCTTTGTTCCCACCTGATAGTGGTTTTGCTCCTGTAATTCCAGTTTAGGCTTTCAATTATTGGAAATGAGTAGTTGTTGCTGTAAAAGCTGAGATGCATGGATATGATGCAAGATCTGTTCTTGTAGTCAATGCTGAGATTGGTTTGATGGGGGGAGTTGGTATTGATACCAAAACCTCTCCACGGAGAGCAGCTATCGAGAAAGTTCAAGATGAACTCAGGTAGTGCTCATTTGTTTTGAACTTTTTGACACCATTCAGATGTCTTTGTTATTTCAAACAAGTTTCTTGTTGATAACAGACAGGAGTATGATGTCATAGAAGAAAGGAGAAGAGAATTGGAATTTCTTCAGAAAGTATGGAACAACATTTTCCTCTTAAGTTAACTGTTCCTGATTCTTCTCCGGGAACTATGAATGGTTTTTTCTCCTTTCTGCAGGGAGGTAATCCACTGGAATTCAGATTTGGACATGCTGTTTCAACTAGTGTGCAGTCCACATCACCAACGGATCAACAAGTAGATCAGTTTGGGACCAGGTATTCACATTGCAATTATAGTCTGTGATCTACCATTTCATTTGCCTATAACAAATACAACAGCAACATCCAAGCTTTGATCCCAAAGAGTTTGGGGCCGGCTAACAAATCATCTACTTTTTCGTATTGCAGCGAGGCAAAAGGCAGTTTTGGTTTCACTGCTTCACCTCACGGGGACTCAGTCGAAAGTAGTGGTAGACCTGGGGATAGTCAGCTATGTGAACCAAATAGTGCTGATAACCTTAATCTGTTTGATGGTGAAAATAAACTCATTGAAGGTGAGCGGACATCCAGATGTCTTAGTAGAAATAATATTGCTCCTCTAGGGAAGTCAACCCAGATAGATGGAAATCAAAATGTGAAAGAATTAGGGAATTCTGTAGCTCTAGGAGTTCCAAGAAAAGCATATAAGCGGCGTTACAGAACCAAGACTAGTCGTGATGGTTCTAGATCAAATTCGAATGATGTCCTTACTCGTGGTGGACATGGCTTTTCTTTGCCCTCATACTGTGTAACTAATGACTCAAAAGGATTGGTATCTGATGCAGAGAAACAGTGGGGCCGGAATATTACCGGGCAACCTACCAGTTCAAATGGTGGGGTGACCTCCAAAACTGTACCTTCTAATAAGAAGGCTATGGTTGAGCCAGACACTATAAAGTCTGCCGAGCCAATGACTGAAATGTCAAAAGTTTGCAAGCCTAATGATGCGCCAGATGTTATTTTTTCCACTGTTACAATACATAGCCAACACAATCAACGCGCGGTAGCCCATGAAAGTCCCACTGAAGTGTCTATTAAAGGAACAGAATTGTTGTCAGAAAAGGAGAAGGTAGGGTTTGGAGGTCTTGAAACTCAGCTATCAGACTTGGAAAAGGTTGATGATCAAGTTAGTTCCAGACAAATGAATGGGTTTAGTGGTGCAAAGGTTGATAGGAAAAGGATATCAAGTGACAGTAAGCACATCAGTGCAGAATTTGCTTCAAAGGGTTTAGATTCATCCTCATCTTGCACTCAGACTAGTCTTAGTCATAATGAAAAGAAAGACAGTGAAATCTGTACAGAGCCAATAAATATATACTCAACTGTGAATAATATGACGGATCAATCCTATGTTTCTGAAAGGGACTCTGTTTTAGAAAACAATATAGTCAAAGACGTGAAAGTGATCAAAGCTGATGAAATTTGTGGGTTTGTAAGTGAGGAATGCTATTCTGTGCAAAAGAATCATAAAGATAATGGGTTTGAACCACAACTAGGGGATGGGTTAATTAGGAATGAATCTACTTTGCAAAGTGAGACAAAAGACGAAGTCATCATTATTGGCAAAGAATCAATTGGCGCTGCTGCATCAGAGACTGAGGTCAAGCCATGTATTTCTGGAAGTGTCAATTCCAACAACCAAGATACAAAGGTATGCCATGAACTTCCTGGCTCTTTTGATTCCTCTGTTCCATACCATACAAAGGTTGCAGAACTGGTCAGAATTTCAAGTGTTGCCCATGAGCGGAATCAATCTGAGATCAAGATCAAATTTGTGACTAGAGCTGATGAAGATTCAATCTTGGAAGAGGCGCGAATTATAGAGGTTACCATATTTGAACATAAGAGAAACTTAAATCTTATTTTTTTATTTGAAGAAATCTCATATGTATGTATGTTGGCATGCTCACATAGTCACATGGTTGCACACTTGCACCCACCCACAAAGAAGTCATTTAAGATTCAAAGTACTAACAGAATTTGAAATTCAGGCAAAGCGTAAGAGGATTACAAAGTTATCTTCTGTAACCACCTCGATAGAGACCCGTCACAAGTCTCACTGGGATTTTGTACTTGAAGAGATGTCGTGGTTAGCAAATGATTTTCTGCAGGTACAATGGTATATGGATGCCATTATTTAGTAACTTCCTGATTTTATTGGGGCGTATTCAAGTATGCATTTATCATACATAAAAATCAATGTATTGAATTCCTTGGGATTACATATTTCCGGATTTGGCAACCTAATGTGCTTCATTGTCGCATTTGGTATAGGAGCGACTTTGGAAGACATCAGCTGCTTGTCAAATATCTTACCATGCCGCATTTTCCTATCAGTTTCGATATAAAGAAATCAATGACAGTTGGAAGCAGAAAAAATTGGCTCACACTTTGGCCAAGGCTGTAATGGATTTCTGGCACTCAGTGAAGGTATCTGAACAAAGTTCTAAAGTGATGGACTTTCATAATTTCTTTTGTATTATAGTTCCATGGACATAAGAGGGTCAATGACATGGCGATAATTATCTTATTGTGTTATCTATTAAATGGGCATTTGCAAAAAAAAATCATGTTTGTTTCAGCACTTCATCAGTGGATTTTAGTCTTCTTTTGGTTGATGTTGGTTGGTGTCTCATACTATGCTGTCTCTATCATAGAATTTTTGTTGAGATTCTGTCAAGTATTAGTTTTATTTAAATTTTTATGATGTTATCTTGTATCCAAAAAATCTAAATAAAAAGAAGCATTGGTTTTTAGTTTCTGGATTCTATTTTAGTATTTTTAAACAGTTATATTTATCCGTCACATTTGAACTATCAAAGCATAATTGGAGGCTTGGAGCGTTTGATGTTCTGAATTTATATGCCCACTGACCATGTCTTTCTAACTGAAATAGCTTGCTGTGTTCACAAAGCTCACCATTATGTCATCCACATTTATGTTGTAGATTTGATTTTACTGTTTTCTATATGTTCATCTCAGTGGAGCTTGGTTGAGATTAGGGGTTATCTTGCACTGTACTTTTGTTGCATATATGTATTATTGTGGCTATGGCATTTTTATTTCTGTTTCTTAATTTACAATACCTTTCGTATAGAAATATTGTTGACGTATCCTAAGGATCATAAGATGACCGAAATATGCTTAATACAATTCTTATGCTCACACTTTTGATTGTTATTGGGCAGTTCATGATTTCATCTTATAGGGAAAACACGAGGACTGAGTTGAATTTGTGTTTGTTGGGAACAATGTAGAAGATATAGTGTGTATATCTTCCCAGCCCACCCAGATTGGCTATAGGCTGGAATAAGTGGGTAAAAAACGGGACATCACTGTTGTAGAGCAGGCTAGGGATGGATTGAGGCCATGCTGGCATGTTTTGGATAGTTTGAATCTCTTAAATTTCTACTCTGAATTAAGAAGATTATTAAGAAAACAATATCTACTCTTGTGTAATGTTTTTTAAATCATTGAGAACAATAAATTAGAAGAATGGTTGTTATACATGCTCCAACCCAACAGATAAAGTATACACGTTTTAAATAATAAACTACACTTTGACCAACATATTTGAATGTTATCCAATGGAGAACTTTGGCATAATGGGCAAGCTATCATGACATGGATTAAATGGTCATTCTTAGTTTGTTCTCTCTCCTTTGGTGAGACCATTCATATTTGTTGAATTTTCTTTATCTGAACATATTTTCTATGGCTAAGGGAAAACAATTAGATTCTCATTGCACTTTTTGTGATGTGTTACAATGATTGGCACAGGGAATGAACAAAAAGGCAGAACTGCAATGCCCTAAGAAAGCTGTTGGCCACGATATACAGGAATATGCCATGAAATTTCTGAAATGTAATAGTTTAGATGTCCCACACAGCCAGGCTGAAGCTCCTACAACTCCTGAGAGGGTGTCTGAGACCAAAGTATGGATGTTCCCCTGTAACTCTTTACACATATTATTTCGTTAGCTCAATCTACTCTACTTCCCTTCTGTTCTGTAAATATGTGAACACTTTTGTAACTGCAATGTATGCATCTTTTAGGATTTCACATATCTGTTGTTTGTTTAGTAATGTAATGCATGAGAGTTGTAATCCTACTTTTTGCAGGAAATTCTTTTTTATACAGTCCCAGTTGGTGCAACTGAAACTTACAGAAAATCTATTGAATTTCAAGTTTTACAACGTCAGGTAACTGTAATATGATATTTTGTTATATACCTGCATATTTTCTGCTGGGTTGTTAGGGCGAACACATTGTTCTTAATTAATACTCCTGTACCACTTTATTTGTTCTACGTTCCTTAAATAATCTTCACTTTCCTAATTGGAACACCATCTTTTGACGTTTCCTTATTCATCTTTTATCTTTAGCACTTCTTGAAATAATCTGACACAATTTGCCCCACTTGAGATGCAATTCTGGAAAGTGAACTGCATTTTATATGTTATCATTAATAACCTCTGTAAAAGTAAATTGGCTTATATCAAATTATTGAGCTACATGAAACTGCTTCTGCCATCTGACATTCAATGGGTTCACGTGGATGATAAAGTGGTCCGAGTTTAATGGTGATGGAGGCATGTGCTTTTAGTCCTATAGGTTCTCAACTCTTCATTCTTGAGTTACTAATAGCTCTTTGTAAAACAATATTACTGTATAAAAGCTGACATTATTAAAAAGCCCCAATTGTAAGCCTTTAAGGGGATTTTGTTTAAAGAGTATGGCCTAGATATGAGTAAAGACATGGTGTTTTCCCTGAGTAGGAGTACTATGTTTCTCCCTTAAATAGGAGTAATACCACCATCCTGAAAAAACTGCCATATTATGGCATTCATGCTGCGATATTAATGCCTCATATTGCCATAATATGGCAATATGATTTCAGGATGACAGTAATTTACTCCTATTTAGAGGGAAAACATCGTACTCTTATTTAGGAATAACTACCTTGTTTTTACTCCTATTTTGGGAAATTTCCTTTTTTTTTTATTTGACGTCGAGTTGTTTTAAAAATGTTTTCAATAAGCTGTCTTTTTGAGCTCTTGTTTGATGAGCCTTGAAAGCAGCAAATTCCAAGAGTGGTATAAATGTATAGCTTGGATATATCATTGGGTCTGAGGAACATCTGGTGCAGTTTTTATTATACACTTTTCTTGTTGGAGGGCCCTCTGAAAATTCATATTTAAAAGAAGTTGATAACTCAAAGATTGAAAACCATGGATTATAAATGTATTGGTGTTATTCCAATCTAAGATTATACCACCTGAGATCATTTACCCTTTTTCACCTGCCAGTTTATAGATATTGTTGGATTGGAGGCTTTATACCTTTGTGGTTTGTCTTGTCATTGTTTCTACATGTGACTTCTTACAGAAAACTCGCACAAATATGAAACAGGAAGTTGAAACCTCTGCATGTGATGCTATGGCAGGTCATTCCCTCAGAGATCATGCTATGTTTGCAATATTTGTAGTTAACAATTTTATTGATTAATATTTTTCTCTTTAATCAGGATCTCAAGATTATGCATGTGAAGAAATTGAAGGGGAAGCAACAATGTATGACATGTCAGCTGCCTTTTGTGGTAGCAGTTCTTCTAGACTTTCAAAAAAGAAGAGGAGATTCCAAATGCACACATACGGTGGAAAGTCAGATGACATGAATACTGATTTATCACTCACTCAGTGCATGGAAAATAAAGTAGGGAGCCAACAATCTATGCCACACCTTAAACGTCCTACCACTAGTCTTAACGTGTCGTTCCCAACCAAACGTGTCCGGACTTGTTATAGACCAAGAGTTCGTAGTCCTTTTAGTGCGGGAACATCAGGTCTTCAGGTCTCTACAAAGACAGATGCCTCTAGTGAAACTAGCTCATTTCAAGATGATCAGAGTAGTTTGCATGGTGGATCATATGTGCCAAACAGCGTAGAAGTTGAATCTGTTCGGAACTTTGAGAAGCATCTTAAACTTGATTCTGCTGAAGTATCTATGAAAAGAAAAAAGAAGAAAAAAGCAAAGAATCTGGTATTCTAGAGCTCATTGATTCTCTATAGACAGATTATAATTTTCGAAATTTGCAGTTCGACTCCATGTCTGTGAACTGTTTCTCACGTCATCTCTTCTTTCTAGGGGTTCTCATATGAACAGAGATGGACAGCTGATTCTAATTTTCAAAATGAGCAGGTGCTCCTCCTTTTCCTATATATTTTATGTGGACTTTTCATTTGATATTACAATGACAAATTTATGTTAAAAGTCCTTCTCACTCTCTGTCTCTTTAAACCAGTCATTAATTCAATTTGTGTTTCTGTGTTCGATCTATACTGTGAACGATTTGATGGATACATATCTTATGGAATGAAACTCATGAACTAGTTAATTAGTTATTTATTTTGATTCTTTAACCTTGTTGGTTATGCATTGTCGCAACATTTTGTTTACTTGATTTTAATTTTTATATACTTAAGTTGTCGCTCTTGAGCTCTCAAAAAGCTTCAAGACTTCTACTGTTACTGAGAACTGTCTTCAATAGTCTTTTTGCATTTTTATTTTTTTTAGCTTGTGTACAGAAAAGCTTATCTGAACCACAGCTGGAGATTAGGAGAACGCTTTTAAAATAAAATTGCTGACAACATTCGGTGTGAAATTTTGTAAATTGCAAGTGTAGATATTATACATTACTCATAAGAAAACAAGAAATCTGAATTTATATAGTTTATGCAGGCCACTTCTTCTGTGGTGTCATTTATGTATGTTTTATCTAGAAATTCATCTTTCTATTGCAGGTTTGCAGTTGAGCATAACAGTCAGTCACAATTATATGATTAACACTTTTTTTGACAAAAAAGATAATATTGTGTTTAGTAACATTTATGTCTACTTCACACTCTTATATGTAACTCAACCAGACATTTTATTAGTATATAGTATACACAATTGAATCTTCCAAATCATTTCCGATTTCAGGGAGGTTATTCAAGGAAGAGGTCAGCCAATCATCAGTTTGAGTCTAAAGGTTGCAATGGTAAAATCTTTAAACAAATCACTTGAGTTTCTTGTTATGCTACTAATATGTGTGCTTGTGGATTTTTCCTTGTCTTATGCCTTAGTGCCTTACAATGGTTACTCTTTTGAAGGTATATTTGGTCAGCATGTTCCAAAGAAACCAAAGATAATGAGGCAATCGTTTGAAAATACTTCTGATAATATCTCTCCAACTCCTGGACCTGTTCCATCTCCATCGGCATCCCAATTGTGCAGCATGCCTAATACCAATAAGTTTACAAAAATGCTTACTGGCCGTGATTTAAGTAAGGTCAAAAATTTGAAGGTAATTTGAAAAGCTAACTCAACTGCATGAGGCCTTCATCACTTTTGCTATTTATACTTGTCATCTTCTATGCCAGGTTAACCGTTTTATTTATTTTTGAATACTTACCATCCTGACATGTATTGCCCTTTCAGATGCCTGCTGGAATGGCTGGTTCAGGAAGCCAATGGTCTCCATTTGAGGACCAGGTTGAATATTATGATCTTCAATTATGTTTGCCGCTCTGCCTTGTCCTTGTAAGGTGTATAATGAAATAAAATACAATACCAGGCACTAGTCGTTTTGGTGCATGACATGGGTCCAAACTGGGAGCTTGTGAGTGATGCTATAAACAGCACTCTGCATTTTAAGGTAAGCAACAAAGTGTACCAAGTTGTGTATGAACATGTTATTTATCAGGTGTCAAGTGTTACTAACAGTACTGATATAAGTGCAGTGCATATATCGCAAACCTATGGAATGTAAAGAAAGGCATAAGTTATTAATGGTAACTAATGGTGATGGGGCTGATAGTGCTGAAGATCCGGGCACTTCTCAACCTTATCCTTCAACATTACCTGGCATTCCCAAGGTAGAAATGAAACACAGAACCTATATCTAGTAGAAATTTAAAAGGTTCTCTGGTTCAATTTAAACGAAACCTAATTCATAATGATCATACTATCATAGTAACACAACAAACTATGATCACTTGTCGATCAATTCATTTGAGTGGATTTACTCAATAGTTATGTGTAATAAACAAGAACAGTTCAACTCAGCACGATATGTATGATCATCTAAACAACTGAGAATCAGTATTTAACTATATATAATATATTTACCCAGCTCTTTATTGTTTTTAAGTTATAAAATTTTAGTAGCTAAAATGTACATAATGTGCAATTTGAGTTAAAGCTTAAAATATCTGTGTCACTTCATACACACAAACACACATACATATATTATTATAGTTCCTGTTTGTCTGGACTGGACTGGAACCGGAATTGAGAGAAATCTTGGACCGAAGAACGGGCCAGTATTTAACTGGTACAAGTCCGGTCTGACCGAGGAGTTCATATTTCCGGTCAAAACCTGATCTTAATTCATCCCTAACTGAGACAGTGATATTTTGAATACTATATACCACTTACCAAGAAATGGGATCGTCACTACAGGGAAGTGCCAGACAATTGTTCCAGCGTTTGCTGGGGCCTGTGGAAGAGGCTAGCCGCAATTCTCATTTTGAGAAAATCATCATGATTGGGCGGAAGTATCTTCTTGGAAAGTCTCAGGTATTATTGTTGCTATTATTGTTATTATCCTTTTTTATTATTCACCAATATTATTGTTGCTGTTATCTTTTTTATATTCTTTATGCTGTATATCTTATCTTTTTTATCTTTATCTTTATTTTTGTTATTATCTTTTTCATCTTAATCTTTATATTTTTATCCTTTTTAGCTCCGATTTCATATGTCTATTCATGTTAGCTGACCCCAAACTCTTTTGGGACTAAGGCTTGGATGTTGTTATAATATTAGAAGTACCAATAATTGATTAGTGAAGGGGGTTGTTTGCCATTGGATATCCTTCTTGAATCTTGATGTTCTGGGATTTACCTTTCTATTTGATTACATTTTAGATGTGCTTGTTTCGATTCATATTGTCTAATATTTTCTCTTAATTTTTTTCATTTGTGAAGGTTGATGACCAGGATCCAAAGCAACTCCAGCAACCTCATAGTTCTCACACAATTGCTCTTTCACAAGTTGCTCCAAATAACCTGAATGGTCTTATTTTGACGTGAGATCCTACTCAACTATGCCTAATTGGGATAATTGTCATTCTGATTTGTTTTGAACTCTATGTTTTCTTTCTGTCGATACTCACCTTTATTTGGTTGCTCATTACTGAAGACCTCTGGACCTGTGTGATGCACCCTCATCTAGTCCGGACATTAGTTCCCTTGGTTACCAAAATCCACATCCAGTTGGATTACCTGCTTCAATGTCTTCTGGTGCAAATTCTGCAACACTGCAAGGGTCTCTGAATGTGATTCATGGAAACAACTTTTCTTCACCTTCAAGTTCTCTAAATGCAACTTTCAGGTAAAAAGGTTGAATTTAATGCTCACAAAAACAGGTCTTCTAACATGTATCCTGTTTGATAATTCTATTTGACAGTTTTTTTTGCTGAACCTACTGAACTTTTGGAAAAGAAAAGCGTTTGGTAATATTAATATCAGCCAAATAGGCTAGTTAAATGCTAATATCTACTCTGCAGGAATTAAGCAGAATAAGCTCATTAGTGCTTACTAAAATACCAAATGGGGCCTGAATCACTTAGTCTCTGCTAACTCAAGTCTATATGTGTTTTTCTGATTTAGAGATGGAAAATATGCTATATCTAGATCGACATCGATGCCAAATGATGAACAGCATAGAATTCATCATTCCAATCAACTGCTACCTGAGAAAAACATATCAGTTTCATCTACCCCTGGAGCTTTCTCAGGACCTGAACATGGTGGGGTCCACGTGCTACCCAGTGGCAGTGGCATGGGGATTATCTCTGGCATTACTAGAGGCATGCCAACACCCAGGCCTGGCTTTCAAGGATTTGCTTCACCATCTATGCTGAATTCTGGGAGTTTGGCTTCTTCTGGTATGGTAACAATGCCAACCCCGGTGAATGTGCATTGTGGTCAGACTACCTCAATGTCCAGACCTGTTGATAACTTGAATATGATGAGGGTTAGTCATTCCTATTTTTCATACACCAATCTGCATAATTTATTTTGATCTATTATTATATTTATATTATTTAAAAATGGGCCCAACGCTTTCAATAAAAGGGTGGTAATCAATGGAAATTCACCCTAATTAGTTTTACATCTCCTGTATGTTAGTTCATGCTATGACCTAAGACATCACGAGCTTATTAGTGCTTTCTGTTAACTTCACTCGATAAGTAGGTACTATTGCATAAAATGAACAAAAACGCACTGCATTTGCATGTGTCAAGGATTTTGTTCTCATCTATAGTTCTAATTATTGTATGTGTTTACATGAAGTGCAAACACTCAGTATCTAACTTGTAGGACCTACCTGTTTGTGTTACAGCCTACCCAAACTCAAGAAACTCAGAGGCAGATGATGCTTGCTGAGCTTCAAATTCAGGCCGCACAGGTAAACAGCCGGGCAGTACCACCCCCATTTGGAGGTTTAACTAGCTCATGCCCCAACCAGACTCCCTCTTCACACGTTCCGTCTTACCCACCTCAACATCATCAACCGTCTCGATCACCGCTCATCCTTAGTCCTCTTCATTCTCATGCTCAAGCAGGGGCTGCCAATCATGCCCCGAACAATGCACAGAAACTAAGTTACGCATTGCACTTGACAAAAGAAAGACAACTGCAACAGCAACTTGTGCATCATAAGCAAAGGTTTGGCACCTCAAACTCTTTAACGCCGTCTGCACAGCAACACCAGTCCCCATTGCATAACAGTGCCCAAATCACGTCACTAAGTGTTTCCCCACCTGCATCACTTTCTTCTTTGGCATCATTGTCTCCCTCAGTTGTCCCTCCTGGCCATTCTCGAAGTGCTCAAGGTGGTCCAACTAATCAGTTGAACAAACAGCAGCAGCAGCAACAGACTAGCAGGAGTCACCCTCAGCAACGGCAGCCGAGTGCCAAAGTTTTGAAGGGAGTGGGGAGAGCGAATGCTTTGAACCAGCACATGCAGATGGACCCCTCTGCGTTGAACCAGTCAACTTCAAATTTAATGATCATAGCTACAGAAAAAGGTGGCAATCAGATGACCAACTCAATGCAAAATCAGGGATCATACACTGGGTCAGCAGTAAATTCCATTTGGCTTACAAAATCATCAGTGGAACAGCCTCAGCAAAAGATGCATCCTGGCCGAGCTGCAACAAAGCCACTCAAGCCAACTGCTTCTCATTCTGATAGTATGGAAGCACTGGAGTCAACCTCACCTGCTGCCAATCAAGCTATTACAACGCCAGTCATCAGTTCTTCATGTGATGAATATGTTCCGCATCCACAGTCTCAGGTGCGTACTCAGAAAAGTATAGCTAACCTAAGCCACACTACTGAGTCTCAGTTCACTCAGCATACCATGAACAACTGTTCTCCTATTGGTGCAGTAAAGGAAACAACTAGTGATTGCAACAATGCAACTAATGCAACTCTGCTTCCAAATAATGCTGCTGCTGGTAGTGAGCAATCATCTCAGATTGATTAGGGGCTATCTCCAGGCAGTTTGTCCCCTGTGGGGCATGAGGCTACCTTGCATTGGGAACAACCACAACAACAACAATAGCTCACCAACCCTGCAAATTTTTTCCTGCAGCCAAGGGTCTTGCAATCAGATAATAGCAGTTTTTGTGGACGCCCACCCAGTTGGGGACTGGATTGATGTCACTTGGCATGATTTGCAGGCATTCCATTGGTTGCTGGTCATACCCCACATCTGGGCTGTGGCATGTGCTCCAAGTTGCAGTGTACAGGTTCTATATGCACCTATCATTCTGTTTGATACCGTCTATCAGTGCTTCAAACACATCACCCAACATTATTGGTCTAAAAATTGGAGAGTTCTTGATTTCTTTGCTCCATAAGAACACAAATCTCTTGTTTATTGCACTGGAAGTGTATTTTCTTGCTGAGTCTTGCTTGTGCTGTGCAGGTGAAATCCAGGTTTTGCTAGACTAAGGATGTCAACGAGCAGTCTTTTGGGCTTTGTATATGATCTGCCGTTGATGGTATGGAATATAGGGGTACCTAGATATAGAGGTAGGTGTACATGGTATATTTTTTCTTTTTCAATATTTTATTCTATTAACCTTCCCAAGTCTTTGGTTTCCTCCTGTATATCGAATGGGCTCTTTTGTACGGGGGTAAGCTATAATTTGTAAAGCAAAATGTGTTCTGGCTAGTTGTAGTTCGTTCCATGATATTATTGCTACTACTTTTCCTGGGGTAGCTTTAGTTTCTATAGCAAAAGGCAGTTGGAAATTGTAAATATTAGTCCTTTAGTGTATATATAATATTATACACACATCTCAATGCAGCTGTTGTGATATACTGATATTTTATGATTGCTCTTTGGCTCAGGTATTTGTCATAACTTATTCGTTTTCACTGATTTCCTCTATATCCAGATTATATTATAACTGTGTTGACAACTTATTGTCTTCGGGATATTCTTATAATTGTGTACTGCTGCCTGCAAGATGTGTAATCTTCCCATTGTAAACCATTGTGGTATCTGCAATCAGGTGCATGATTATATTGCTTTTTGAAAAGTTGTACTTTTGATGTAAATGTTAAAATTTGAAACCAAGGAATCGTTTACCGGGCTGTAAATCCCTGTAATTTCTGTCGTCTGTTTTCTGAAACTAAAAACAAAATTTTAAAGCAAAAGAAGGGTTTCATTTTGTTTTGCATGTCTCGGAAGGATTTATAGAGTCTGCCGTATATACTAATACAGGGATTCCCCATTGGTGGAAAATATCACCAAATCCGCCTATAAACTCCAATACGAGTATACGACACTAGGGATGGACCCGGGCCGGTCTGGTTCTGGTTCCGAGCCGGGCCCGGGTGGGCTTCTTTTGCAAATTCATGGGCCCGGAACCGGCCTGGGTTGATACTGGGTCCGGGCCTAACCGGGCCGGGCCGGGCCCGGTTCGATGTCTATTTTTTTTTGCTTTCTTGTTATCCCCCGACCCCCCCTCACCCCACCCCCAAACCTCCTCAAAACACCCAGCCCTAGCCTAGGAAAAGAAAAATTGAAAAAAAAAAAGACCCGGGCCCGGCCCGAACCGCCCGGGCCGGTTCGCCCAAAACTGGGCCCGAGTCCGCCCCGCCCGACCCACCTAAACGGGCTAAAAGCCCGGAACCGGCCAACTAATATTACCGGGCCGGTTCGGTTCCGGGTGGCCCGGGATAATAGTACCGGGCCGGTTCGGTTCCGGGCCGGTTCGGGCCGGCCCAGTCCATCCCTATACGACACTATGGAGAGTGGAGATCAATTGATGTGCATCAATTTTGGTATGGGAGAAGGAGTTTTGAAGGGCGTGGCAGGGATTCTTCGTTGAAGTTCTGGGATTCGGAGAAGCAGCATCCACGGGTAAATACGAGACAGACGGACAGATTGTTTTCTAGCTGGGCACCTCCTCAACGCCAATTCAGATGCAGAACAAGGAGCGAGATAGGAAGCAATGGGTTTCTGACTTTCTGATCTCTTCTGACTGGAGAACGAAATCAATGCAGGGGCGTCTCCCAGCTACGAACAGGAGGCTGCGTTGCCACCAAATTCTTCAAGGAGACAGATCTGGGAATTCCTCCTATGGTTGGGAGCTGCGTAAACAAAAAGGGGGACCCAGGAATGCTTGGCCAGATTGCAAAGCCACGAGTTCACGACAGGGGTTGCAGGGGATTTGAAAAACAAAAATCAGCTTCTGAAGATTGCTTTAATATTGAGAGTAAATCTTTTTTAGTTTGATATAGATTACTCTATTCTCCATATTAATCAAGTTAAAAATCAACACACTTGTTCGATTTCATTTGATAAAAAAGGGGTAGAGTGGTTGTTTTCATTTGTCTATCGTGTTCTATCGGGTCAATCATGAGCTTTTCACAAGGTACGAAAAGTCACGTAAACTTCATTTGTCTTGTGATAAGAATATTTTTGGAAGTTTTCATTCGTCTAGTGGAAATAAAAAGTTGGGGTAGGACGACCGTTACTGTTCCGGAAGACTGGAAGGGTGAGGGTTTTCATTCAACGTTTGATGTTAAAAGAGCTCATGAAAGAAAATTTGGGTAAGCATTTAGAAGACTTTGGATTTGTTTGTTTAGAGTTAGTGGAATCTTCTTTTGAGAACTTGGGGGTCTATTTTTTCGATGTTTTCTCATGAAGATCTATGCAAGAATGAGTTTTTAATTTCTTTTGGATCAGAAAAACTAGTTGAGGTTGCTAAAGGGAATGCAATAATATTAGTCGAGGAGATAGGCAATATTGACCATGATGCAATTGAGGTTGTTGATTTTATTTCTCCTCCTGATATTGATTATGCTAATAGGAATATTGTCATTTTAACGAAGAATTGTTATGATGGTATGGCTAGAGAAGCAAAGGAGGATGAGAGTAATGTGCAGAAAGTCATGCTAGTAACACCGATTCAAATCTCGTTACCTGAACAAAGTCAGCAAAATGCAATCAAGGGCAATTCTAGGGATGAACCCGGTCCCGGTCCAGCCCAGGTCCCAGACCGGCCAGTCTCGGGCATGAATTGTGAAGACCAGAACCGACCCGGGTTTCAACGGACCCGGTTCCGGTCTAGTCTACCCGGGTGGTTCTGGTCCGGTCCCGGTTCGGTCTGGTCCTTTATTTTATTTTTTTTAAATTATTGTACAATTTGAGCCGTTGGGACCCGGTCCCCATTTCAATGACCCGAGACCGAAACTACCGAGTCAGGTACCCGGTCCAAGACCGGGACCGGAAAACCGGATCCGGTTCGGTCCCGCGCAGTGGCGGGTCCGGTTCCGGTCCGGGACCGCCGACCGGGTCCACCCCTAGGCAATTCTCAATTGGATTTTGACGCTGTTTCAGATGAAGGGTCTTCAAGATATGACTCAAATCAAGAGCGGCTTGCTCGACTAAGTGATCCTAATTATAAAACAGCTACTCAACTTAAGTTTAGACGAAGTGCTCGACTTCAAGCTAAAAACGAGATTAAGGATTAGATTTATCTTGGAATATTGTGGTTACATCTTCATTGGGAAGATTTGTCATGATTTTTTGGAAGGGTGGCTTTGACTTATTTATGTGGCTTTGTTGGAGATCTTGGCTATCCGATTCTATCTTTGACATGAGGACTTATTTTTTTTGGGTGTGGATCATTGGCATGTAATTTCAATGACTTTATGTTATTTCTTTAAATTTCTACCTTCATTAGCGGTTGTACTCTTTTCTATACTCTAATAAAACTAATATTTTTGATGCAAAAAGATGTATTAAAGGTAATAATTATTACCTCCGTCTCATTTTATGTGTCCCCTTAAAGTTTTACACAACTATCAATAAAGTGATTGAAAATTGTAAAAGTTGTAGTTGAGAATTAAGTAATTGAATATAGTAAAATGAAATGTTGTTGATCACACATTTTTTTTTCAAAAAAGAAAATGCGTTTCTTATTTTGAAACAATTCAAAAAGAGAAATTAGGACAAGTAAAATGTGAAAGAGGAAGTGTTGAGTTTAAGTCCAACACAAACTATTAGATATAGATATAATATGTATGAAATGCTCTGTTTTTACGTGGAAACCCGGAAAGGGAGAAAATCACGGAACTTTTTAGGCTAACGTCCAAACCCGCTCTTTCTCATTCATACTCTCCTCACGATTTACGTAGTACAAATATTGAACCTCCTTTAATGGAGGTTGTAAGCTTATCTAACTAGCTACTCCCTTGAGAGGAAGAAGAAGCAAGGAAGAAGCCAACCAAAAGTCCCTTTCCACAAAAGCCTTACTTCCTATTTATAGAAGAGAGGGGGAGCCTTTCTAGCCTACCAGGGTGATGCCTTGAGCCTCTGAACAGTAACGGGTCAGGATAATATACCCCAACACAAGTCCCCCAGTTTCTTGAGTAGTGAGCGCGCGAATCTGCTCGAGAAAGTATGATCTTGATCGCATCCTTCCTTGCCTTCCCTGAATCAGTGTCTTCGAATAGTCTCGGATGCAAGGCATGCATAAGTGACAGGTGAGGTGTAGTCCCCACACTAGGCACGACGGTGCTGAAAAGCCAGTCGTTCGTGCTGCATAAAGCAGCGGTCACCTTCCCAGATCAGGGATCGATGAGCCCGGCCGCGAGGAGGCACAAAGACTATGAACAGGCACTCGTGCTGCATAAGATGATCAAGAGAAAATGAAACTCTATTCCCCAGCTCAAACCGAACCAACCGAGTTCCTCCATCCGATCTGATTTGGACGGATCACTCTTACTAGTTGGTCGGGGAAGACTAACACGATCAACTAGTCGTCGCGGCGTTTGGGTAGTCCAAACGTGTATGCCACGTACCGTGGATGCGGTTGTAGAACCCCCTATCCTTTGGATGGGGTGTTCCACGGACTTGATTCTAACAAACTAGGACCCGTCGGCCCAGGACCCATCGGTCCTCCATTTGCTTTACATCATTTCCAAACCATTTCGAATCTATCGTTCGGTCTTCTTGACGAATGGATCTTCGGTCTCTGGCAGAAATGATGACTCACATCGAATTCATAGTTCGATTCCCCCATTCGTATCACTACACGACTCGACGTACTATGTCTGGGGTGAGAATTTTAACCATAATTTTGATCCCCCATTCGATTCACCTCAGTTTGACCGGATGCCCGAACGGATCGCCCATACTCCTGGCCTCTCGCCTCCAAACCCAATTTTCAATGCCCCATTCGAGTATTACGATATGATTCATCCATACTTGTAGTTGAGGTGACATTTTTAGGAGCCCTGATCTCCTTTTCTCTCGTTTCACTCTAGGTTTTCCAGATGGAATCTTGCATCCACCTTTTTTACACATATATATACAGGGACTCACAATGATGATCACGCCGTGCCGGAGGGGCCAGTTGTGGTAGCGGATAGAGCTGTAAAAGCAGTCAGATCATCCGAAAAATAGGTTTTCCTCCGTGGAACATGAAGATGCCTTCAAGGTGATAAACTGCATAAGACGGTGATCCTCCAATGTAAAAGCATGGGTGGACCCAACCGTGATCTGGATACGATGGCATTGAGGGGCCAATCGTATTGCAAAAGACGGTGATCCTCCCCCTGTAAAGGCATGGGCGGACCCGACCGTGATCAAGAATGTGTGAGGGTCTTACAGGCGCCCTCTGCCCATGGTACGATGGCTCAGAAGGGCCGATCGTACTGCATAAGACAGGGATCCTCCCCCCGTAAAGGCATGGGCGGACCCGACCGTGATCAAGAATGTGTGAGGGTCTTACAGGCGCCCTCTGCCCATGGTACGATGGCGCTGAGGGGCCGATTGTACTGCATAAGACGGTGATCCTCCCCCTGTAAAGGTGTAACACCCCGGCCCCGTAGGC